AAAATGCCCAGGAAGAACAATGAAATGTTTACTATTTGGTGCTACTATTGTATGATATCTAAGTAAGAGTAAAGGGAGTTCCAGAGACCCGAAGTGCCAAACATGAAGCTATTCATGTAGAAGATACGCCTACATTTAACTGTTTCGACAGTGAAAGTGAGTGACTAAGATTCCGACCTAGTGGCACTTTTAAATTCATGCAGTTTGGGAACTAGCGAAAGTAGTCGAAGCACATTTTTACTCCAAGTAAGGCGATAAGGTCACTAAGACGTAAGGGACTACTGAGAGTGAAGGAAAACGTTAAGGAGGGATGGATAGAAAGAGAGAGTGGGTGAGTGTGTGTGTGTGAGAGAGAGAGAGAGAGAGAGAAAGAGAGGAAGAAAAAGAGCAAGCATTAAAAGACTAGGCTTCCAGCAGAGAGAAGACGACGATTGTGATTGCATTTAAATCAATGCATATTCTAGTTGACAGTAAAGCAAGAAGCCAGAAGAGAGAAGAATCTATAAGGATAGAACTTACGGTTATATCTCGCAATTTCATTAGTAAAATGGTGAACCCGCGCTGCCAACTGAAATTTACCATTACCTCATAGGAGACTGGACGTTTCACCGTGAAGTATTGCTAAGTAAGTAAGTTCGATCCTCAGTGACTCTCAGATTTATGAAGATTTAGTATATAACAATAATTCACCAACCCTGGCAAAGACAACGGACTTTTTATATCGACAATTTATATCTATCCTTTCCGTTCATAATTTATCAAACAGTAATCAACATTCCATCTGATTCTAGTTACATTTATATAATTCCTTTCAAAGGTGCTTTTGTGGCAGGATAAAACCTGTGGCGTTGAAACAGTTGAATCTCTGCTCTTGACTCATAATATATAATTGACTAATAAATGTTTGACGCGTCAGTCTGACTAAAGGCACGGAATCTAAGTCGCATGACCAGTTGGGTTTAATTTATTAGAATAACTACACGTCTACTCGAGCCTTCCACGTTCTCTCACTTGATACGACTGAGGTATGACCAAATCATCTCACAAATAAGACATCATATCACCTTTCTTATCTGTATTTAATATCTGGCATCTCGTCTGCAGTCGCTCTCTCACAGACGCGCAGTCGCCTCTCTCTGTCTTTTTTTACAAATACTTTCATGTCAATTGCTCCGAGGAGCTGCATTCGCTGGTTCCCAGACTTCATGAGTTCAAGCGCCCTACGAGGCTGGCATCCCGATCTCACCCTTTCACTGTCGAAACTGCTAGCCGTCTCTTCTACTCCAATAGCTTCATGTCTCGCACCTCTCGCACCTCTCGCCTATGGAACTCCCTTCCCTATTCCAGTTTCCCTGAGAGCTATAATCTCCCACTATTCAAATGTAATGTCAATCGACATCTCCAGTTGCCTTGATCTATCCACTATACTTCTCCTCATCCTTTCCTCTATCACTCCTATCTGATCTTGCTCCAACTCTTCTGTAAGCCCTTGCGTCCTAGTAGCTTCCCGCCTTGCTTGGTCTCGTGATATGACGTAATATGGAGATAACTTTTTTCTGAAGCATATATGTCTTTTTCAGTTGTCATCCATAAGCAAAGTTTTATCATATGTTGAGTGTCGTAAGGTAGCAAGTATCTTCATCAGTTATTCCAATTTCGTAATGATTTACTCTTTGACCTTATCAAATATAATGTTTATTATCCAACAACATATTTTTTAATCATATCATCCCACGTAAGGCAGTAAAGCCACTAAGACTAAGAGTGTGAAAAAAATAAGAACAAAATAAACGTTAAAGAGCGAGAACAATAGAAGAGTAATCAAGAAGAGATTAGATAATGATTAACATCACGTTTAAATTTTTGAAGACAAAAGTTGACTGGGAAAACATGGAACCGGAGGAGAGTTCCACAATCGATAAGAGCGAGAGAAGAAACTGTTGGCATAGAACTCACGTTTACATCTAGCAAATTCAACTGTAAATTCATGATACCTTGCCACCAATCTAGTATTGCACTTAAATAAATCTAGGTTCCATAGAGGAAAGTTCATCAGAACAATTACCATGAATTTTTTTTTTATAGAAAAGGCACAGGGACGCTACGTTATAATGATGGGAAAGGGACTGAAGCTGAGATGCCAGGTCAGGACCAATAATATTGTAGATTTTTCTTTGTATTTTATCAAGAGTCTCTAAATCTATAGCAGGAGCACCAGAGCAGATGTTGCAGAAATAGTCTAAAATTTTCCAAAATCCCTGAAACATCAACCTGTCGTACTGCACATGCACATGAAGAAGAGTGGACACAGCTCATTCTTCATTTTTTTTTAATCATTTCACCCCAGCCATGGCAATAAAGTCACTAAGACGCAAGAGGGGTTACCGAATGTCAGAGAATACGAGAAAAACTATTATTAAGGAGGGAAGACAATAAAAAAAATCCAGAATTAAGAAGACAGAAGATAACGATTGATATTGCATAAAAATTGTTGAAGGTGAATGTTAACTGGTAAGCAAGTCGAAAGAGATGTTCACACGCGAGAATTGCGATAGAAAGAAAAACTGTTAGTATATAACTTACGGTTACATTTTGCTATTTCAACTCTAATATGATTGTGAAGCTACCCCCCCCTCTGCAAATCGTTGCACAAAGATATAGATCCCACGTCGTAGAATTTCTGTGCGGCGGATCGAGCGAGAAGCAGGCTCACAGGCAAAAGAAAAACACAGCAACAAATTTGGGTAGGACGAAAAGAGGAGGGAGGGCGTGTGACCTTTTGTGGATAATTAACTCTGGGCTGATTCTCGGCTGGCAAAAAAATATATATCTTAACTAACAATGTCCGGCTGCTAATGTGTCGCTCTTCGTTGTTACTTGCTCCGGCCTGAATCAACCTTCCTCGGACCTAAACTAAGTCTATCTCCTGAAACCCAAAGCGCTCCATATATATGCAGAGTCCTCTTTCATCATTTCCGGGCAAGGAACACCCACGAATAAACCCATACTTTTTTCATGACCATTTCTCCTTTGAAGAAAGTGGACATAAAATATTTCTTAGCCTAGCTGACTCCGATCCAGGGACATTAAATTCAGACCCTTTTAAGTTTTGACCAGAGCCGGTCTTTTAACTATCTTCGTATTTTGACAAGTACTTAACACTTATTTACCCTTTTGGCCATATGTTCAAAAAACATGTTTTTATCTAGATTCCTAATCTAGTCATTGGGTCTTGAGTTTGATACCCAGGTCAAATCTAACTAATCTTTCGCACATATGTGTGCGTGCGCACACACACAGATGTGTGTATATATATATATACACACACACACACACACACACACACACAGATGTGCGAGCGCACACACACACGTGTGCGCATATATCCAACTCATAGTGTCACATGATGAGACCTTTCCACCAATCTAGTACTGCACTTAAATTCATTAGTCTAAGTACCATAGAGGAAAGTTCATCAGAACAATTGCCGTAAAAGGATTTATAGAAAAGGCACAGGAAAGCTACACTACAGCTGTGAGAAAGTGACTGAAATCAAGATGCCAGGTGAGGACCGATAATATTGCTTATTATTCTTCTTTGAATCTTATAATGAATCTCTAGATATATAACAGGAGCATCGGACCATATGTGGAAGCAATATTAAAAGCATGGAAGAATGGTAGACTTATAAATATGTTAGATACATTCAAGAGAGAAAAATTGTCTAGTACGACACAGTGAACCGACTTTTCTAGCAGCTGATCTAGCAATGAATTCTATATAATTTTTCAACTTCATGTCAGTCGAGAATGTTAGGGAGGCAGGAAGATGTCTTTCAGTTGAGAAGTCCCGTTTTGGAGGCGTTAAAATTAAAATGCCATTACTTGCACCAGTTAACAACACACTGTAGGTCATTTTTTTTATCAGCTGCCAATTTCAAACTCATCAGACTTACTATCGAGACAGGAGTAAATGGTATGGATCTCGAATGCACACCCGCAAATACTATGCAACATGGGCGGCATGTTTATAAATTATAGTTTGTACTTGATTAGATCGGTGGAGTAATGGATAGCGACTCGGATTGATGAATCGAATTCCAGTCGAATCCATTATATTGACTTGCGTACTAATACCCTTGGGAAAGGTATGAATCATCTTCTTCTTCTTCTTCTTCTTCTTCTTCTTCTTCTTCTTCTTCTTCTTCTTCTTCTTCTCCAAGCTATGGGTAAATAGAAGGACAGACCAGGTTCTATAGCCTTGGATGGCAACTGGTCTACCACAGAAAGAAATAGCAGCCTATTGCAGGAAAAATCTGCCTCGTCAATCATGTATCGAAAGATACATGATCGCTTAAGTGTGTATCACGCATGGCAAAGAGATTTATTGTATCAAATACAATTATGGCATAAATGGGGAATGTATTGAGGCTGGTCTTCACTGACTATTTGATACCTAGCTAATCCGATTCACGACCCATTCTCTCATTACAATTTGCACATTCACCACAAGAATTCATCCGTCACCAATCAATCCCTATATACCATAAGGCCGTATACTCTCAGGGAACCTAAAAAACGCAACCCATGACATAGAACTTGATGATTATAAAAAATCATGCATAAAAAATTTAGGGATGATTTACAATGAGAGGGGAAGGGATGAACCCCCAAACAAACTAACTATCAAAACAAACAAAGGATAACTGATGTTAGTAGGACCCATCCAACCCTATATCATGCATAGCACATAACTGATTTGATTAGATAAATATTTATAGAGCTTCGCCCATTACTCTGGTAACAATAATATTGTGGCTGGACGTAAATTTATAAGAATATTAAGACCTATGTTTTGTTTTAATAAGCCCTGTTTTCGTTACTTTATTCATTTATCGAATGTGTGTCCATATTTGAACAGATATTATGAGTTTATGTTGTCAAGAGAAAATAATGCGTTGTACACAAACACTTGCAGTGATGTATACAAAGGAAACGCGAATGCCTTTTGAAATATACACTGAACAGGATATTATTAGCGCTAGCAATATTTTCTGTGTCGAAACCATTACCTGCTCTCACTCTCTCTCTCTTTCTGTGTCGAAACCATTACCTACTCTCTCTCTCTCGCTCTCTTTTTGTGTCAAAATCAGGTAATGCTCTCTCTCTTTCTCCCTTTCTGTGTCGAAATCAGGTAATGCTCCCTCTCTCTCTCTCTCACACTTTCTGTGTCGAAATCAGGTAATGCTCTCTTTCTCTCTCCCTTTCTGTGTCGAAATCATTACCTGCTCTCTCTCTCTCCCTTTCTCTGTCGAAATCATTAACTACTCTCTCTCTTTCTCTGTCGAAATCATTACCTGCTCTCTCTCTCTCACTCTCTCTCTCCATTTCTGTGTCGAATCATTACCTGCTCTCTCTTTCTTTCTCTCTCTCTCTCTTTCTTTCCCTTTGTGTCGAAATCATTACCTGATCTATCTCTCCCCTTTCTCTGTCAGGAAATCTCTCTCTTTCTCCTCTCTCTCTCTCTCCCTTTCTCTCTCTCCCTTTCTGTGTCAGAATCTCTCTCCCTTTCCGTGTCGAAATCATTACCTGCTCTCTCTCTCTCCCTTTCTCTGTCGAAATCATTACCTGTTCTCTCTCTCTCCCTTTCTGTGTCGAAATCATTACCTGCTCTTTCTCTCTCTCTCTCCCTTTCTGTGTCGAAATCATTACCTGCTCTCTCTCGCTCCCTTTCTCTGTCCAAATCATTATATGCTCTCTCTCTCTCTCTCCCTTTCTGTGTCGAAATCATTATCTGCCCTCTCTCTCTCCCTTTCTGTGTCGAAATCATTACCTGCTCTCTCCCTCTCCCTTTCTGGTTGAAATCATTGCCTCTCTCTCCTTTCTCCTCTGCTCTCTCCTTTCTGTGTCGAAATCATTATCTGCTCTCTCTCTCTCCCTTTCTGTGTCGCTCTCTCTCTCTCCCTTTCTGGTTGAAATCATTACCTGCTCTCTCTCTCTCCCTTTCTGTGTCGAAATCATTATTACCTCTCTCTCTCTCCCTTTTCTGTCAGGAAATCATTACCTGCTCTCTCTCTCCCTTTCTGTGTGAAATCATTACCTGCTCTCTCTCTCTCCTTTCTGTGTCGAAATCATTATCTGCTCTCTCTCTCTCCCTTTCTGTGTCGAAATCATTACCTGCTCTCTCTCTCTCCCTTTCTGGTTGAAATCATTACCTGCTCTCTCTCTCTCCCTTTCTGTGTCGAAATCATTATCTGCTCTGTCTCTTCCTTTCTGTGTCGAAATCATTACCTGCTCTCTCTCTCTCTCCCTTTCTGGTTGAAATCATTACCTGCTCTCTCTCTCTTTCTCCCTTTCTCTGTCCAAATCATTACCTTCTCTCTCTCTCTCTCTCCCTTTCTGTGTCGAAATCATTATCTGCTCTCTCTCTCCCTTTCTGTGTCGAAAACATTACCTGCACTCTCTCTCTCTCCCTTTCTGTATCGAATTCATTACCTGCATTCTCTCTCTCTTCCTTTCTGTGTCGAAATCATTACCTGCTCTCTCTCTCTCTCTCCCTTTCTGGTTGAAATCATTACCTGCTCCCTCCCTCTCTCCCTTTCTGTGTCGAAATCATTACCTGCTCTCTCTCTCTCCCTTTCTCTGTCGAAAACATTACCTGCTCTCTCTCTCTTTCTCTGTCGAAATCATTACCTGCTCTCTCTCTCTCTCCCTTTCTGTGTCGAAATCATTACCTTCTCTCTCTCTCGCTCCTTTTCTCTGTCGAAAACATTACCTGCTCTCCCTCTCTCCCTCTCTCTGTCGAAATCAGGTAATGCTCTCTCTCTCCCTTTCCGTGTCGAAATCAGGTAATGCTCTCTCTCCCCGTTTCCCTGTCGAAAACATTACCTGCTCTCTCTTTCTTTCTCTGTCGAAATCATTACCTGCTCTCTCTCTCTCCCTTTCTCTGTCGAAAACATTACCTGCTCTCTCTCTCCCTTTCTCTGTCGAAATTATTACCTGCTCTCTCTCTCTCCCTTTCTGTGTCGAAATTATTATCTGCTCTCTCTCTCCCCCTTTCACTCATTCATATAAATGTATAGACTCAAAAGTTAAGCGTGTATCGCGCATGTGCCATGCGCGATACACGAAGTGAATGTAATGGATTCGACTGGAATTTGAACTCGGCTCTCCGATTCCTCAATCCGAGCCGCTATCTACTACTCCACCGTGTCTTCCTTCTGCAGTAGATAGTTTTTTTTTTCTGGCTTCGACTAGATTCAAAACTTATGGAACATTCTGAATAGGTAGGCTTACATTGGCAGAGGACATTTTACCAGAAAAAGATTAAATGTTATTCGAAACGCTATTCTGGATACTGTGCAGTCTATGTTATATGAAGAAATACAATAGCCTATAAAATGAATGGAGGGACAACTTTTAAAATTAGCTTTTTGATTGAATGTTTGATTCGTTTTTTACGGCTTATCAACCTTTTGCCCGTTATTTAAAGCCAGAACATGTTTGTAGATTGTAAGAATTTTTAGGGAGATAATAATTGTTTAATGATACAGGACTTAATAATTAACCCATAGTTTAGGGAGAAGAGGTAGATTCATACCTTTCCCAAAGGTATTTATACCTAAATAACTATAACGAACTCAAACGGAAATGTAACTGGGCTCTCCGATTAACAATTAACTACATTCGACAGCAAGGCCCCTCATCAGGAGATCGGGGGATTTTGAAGAAAATTGGGACCACCTCTTAATTTCTGTTGTTCCCAGGTCCACACTAACCCGGGGAGGTAGCACTTGTTAGGGGCAAATAGTGAACCCTCAAACAAAAACAAAACCTTATGAAAATATAAGAATACATTTTTAGAGTAAAAATACCAGCAATATATTTAAAAAAAATTAGCAACAATACATATTTATAGTAAAATGACTAACAACGTATTTTATAGCAAAATAATCATCAATACATTTTATCTGCAGTTGAAGGCATTCAACATATACTTAGTTGAAGCTATAAAATTGTTCAAAATATAAAGATTAAGACTATGTATATTATTCGGATTATTATCTACGTCTTTGTCGCCATATTTAATACAACGTTTCGGTCGTTGTACGCTCCGGCCTTATCTGAGAAATATAGACAGATACATTTAGATTTAGGCATTAAATAACTTATAGAGGTCGATATATCACGAAACAAAATCAACCAAACAAAGAACATAAAAGAGTTCTTTCATGACATTAATCCATATAATATCCTTCAATTTCGTAAAGAAATCAAACTGTATTCCAGAATGTAACTTCAACAAAACTACAATATATATTACTCTAGTAATTATGTTCATACAAACATGTATATACACAAAAGCTGAGCATCATCTACCATGTATGCAATTATGAAAGCAGAATAACATATATCATATTTTTATTACTTCAAATCTCTCAAAAAATTACATTTCGTCATTAAATGGAATTAATTTTTGAGATGAGGTATTATGTACACTATTTACATTATTCGGACTACTGTCCTCAAGGACACATGGCACAGTGGATAAAGGCGTTAGTTAGATCCAGTGAGAGGACCCAAAGAGTGTGAGTTCAATACCCGGTTAAGGCAGTGGAGAACTTGGAGAGGGGAATTAACAGGAGATAACTGATAACTGAAAGTCATTAGACATGGCACGTGGAACTAGAACAGTCTACCCCAGTGAGCGAAATAAAGGGTTCAGTTCGACATTCCAACTACCAGAAGAAGATCGGAGCGTACAACGGCCGATAACGTTGTAATAAATATGGCGACAAAGATGAGGACAATAGTCCGAATAATGTAAATAGTGTAAATGGAATTGATATGCCGTTAATTAAGAACTAATCAGTCATTTTGTTGCTTTTTTGTCTTTGCCCTTCCATCTTTGTTTCTTCATTCATCTCTCTCTCTCTCTCTCTCTCTCTCTCTCGCTCTCTCTCTCTCTCTGTACGAGTTTGGGATGAAAAGTGTCATAGGCTAACTATGAAAGTGTCATAGGCTGACTTTGAAAGTTGCAGAGTAGTTTTCACAGTGGAGGCTTGTATTTCGCTAAGTCGGTCCTAAAAGTGTCCGACGTACAAAACGTTAGGAACTTGAAATAAGAGTTAATGACGCAGCAATCTAGTTGTGATGGTTGATACTTCAATGTCCGACATCGACTGACTCACTCAACACCACTGAGCTTAACTGGCGACCGCTACTACTACTACTACTACTTATTATTATGTGTGGGAGAGTCTATTACAATAGAATAGGTAATGTTCTGGTATAACAAAAGTGACATAGGCTGACTATGAAAGAGTGATGCTAGAATTGTGATACCTTGTATGCCTTCATTTCAACTCTCCTTATTGATAACGGCATTGTTTCTTTCTACTGTTCAAAGAAGAATTCAAAAGGAACAAGTCGCGACTTCTCTTGAAAATGGAGAAAATTTGGCATCGCGGTGTTATCAAGTCCCTGGTTTAGCTCCAAAGACGTTCATGATGATATAGTTGGGGATGACGCTCAAGCTCAACAGTGCTGGTGAATTTAGGAGAGGAAGGGAGAGTCTTGAATATGACCCAAGGTCTGGACGCCCTGCAACTGCCACCACCAAAGAAAATAATTGTGTTCATCACATAGTGATGGATGACAGGCGACAAACTATAAATCAAATAGCCAATGCTAGAGAGAGAGAGAGAGAGAGAGAGAGAGAGAGAGAGAGAGAGAGAGAGAGAGAGTGTTAAGAATATTCTTCACAATGAACTTGACATGAGAAAGGTTTCTGCTCGGTGGGTGCTACGTCTTCTGACATTTGATCAAAAGGCCACCAGTCTGATCACAATACAGGAAAGTTTGATATTGCTTGAGGTAGGTCCAGCTGGTTTCCTTGAACATTTTCTAACCCAGGATGTTTTTCAGGTTGATCACTGAGCCAGAAACAAAAAGACAATTCATGCAATGGAAACACCCCCTCTTCACCTGTTCCAAAGAACGCCAAGGTTGTTTCATCTGCAGAGAAGATTTTTTGGATGCAAAAAAGCATTGTTTACCGACTATCCTAAAAAGGGTTCACACCATCAATGGCCGAGACAGTTATGAAAGGTTATCAAAACCAAATGCCCAGGAAAGCTAGCGAAAGGGACTTGTTTCATCAGGACAATGCTTCAGCACGAAAGTGATTGGTTTCAATTTTTATTGTGCGCGACTGTGGCTTTGAACTGGTTGATCACACTCGCTATTCTCTTGTGTTGACTATTATCTGTTCCTCAACACGAAAAAAAAAGAAAAGAAAAGAAAAACAAAACAACAACAAAAAAAAAAAACTACAAAAACTTGGCTGGGAGCCAGTATCGCAGATGTTATGTCTGTTGTGGATGACGTTTTTGACCAACGGGATGAACAGTCTTTGAACAGTCAGATATCAGTTTACCTAGAAAGAAACAATGAATTTATTAATAAGAAGTGTTCAAATTAATGTCTGCAAAATTTCACAGCTGTAGTATCAACCCTTCATATTCAGCCTATGAACTTTTCAGCCCACATTCTTACTGGAAAGAAACAATGCAAAATTAATAAGAAGTGTTGAAATTAACAATAGTATCAACCCTTCATATTCAGTTGAACTTTTAATTCTTACTGGGAAAGAAACAATGAAGTTATTAATAAGAAGTGTTGAAATTAATGCCTGTAAGATTTCAGAGCTGTAGTATCAACCCTTCATATTCAGCCTATGAACTTTTCAGCCCACATTCTTACTGGGAAAGAAACAATGCAGTTATTAATAAGAAGTGTTGAAATTAATGCCTGTAAGATTTCAGAGCTGTAGTATCAACCCTTCATATTCAGCCTATGAACTTTTCAGCCCTCATTCTTACTGGGAAAGAAACAATGCAGTTATTAATAAGAAGTGTTGAAATTAATGCCTGTAAGATTTCAGAGCTGTAGTATCAACCCTTCATATTCAGCCTATGAACTTTTTCAGCCCTCATTCTTACTGGGAAAGAAACAATGCAGTTATTAATAAGAAGTGTTGAAATTAATGCCTGTAAGATTTCAGAGCTGTAGTATCAACCCTTCATATTCAGCCTATGAACTTTTCAGCCCTCATTCTTACTGGGAAAGAAACAATGCAGTTATTAATAAGAAGTGTTGAAATTAATGCCTGTAAGATTTCAGAGCTGTAGTATCAACCCTTCATATTCAGCCTATGAACTTTTCAGCCCACATTCTTACTGGGAAAGAAACAATGCAGTTATTAATAAGAAGTGTTGAAATTAATGCCTGTAAGATTTCAGAGCTGTAGTATCAACCCTTCATATTCAGCCTATGAACTTTTCAGCCCACATTCTTACTGGGAAAGAAACAATGCAGTTATTAATAAGAAGTGTTGAAATTAATGCCTGTAAGATTTCAGAGCTGTAGTATCAACCCTTCATATTCAGCCTATGAACTTTTCAGCCCACATTCTTACTGGGAAAGAAACAATGCAGTTATTAATAAGAAGTGTTGAAATTAATGCCTGTAAGATTTCAGAGCTGTAGTATCAACCCTTCATATTCAGCCTATGAACTTTTCAGCCCTCATTCTTACTGGGAAAGAAACAATGCAGTTATTAATAAGAAGTGTTGAAATTAATGCCTGTAAGATTTCAGAGCTGTAGTATCAACCCTTCATATTCAGCCTATGAACTTTTCAGCCCTCATTCTTACTGGGAAAGAAACAATGCAGTTATCAATAAGAAGTGTTGAAATTAATGCCTGTAAGATTTCAGAGCTGTAGGATCAACCCTTCATATTCAGCCTATGAACTTTTCAGCCCACATTCTTACTGGGAAAGAAACAATGCAGTTATTAATAAGAAGTGTTGAAATTAATGCCTGTAAGATTTCAGAGCTGTAGTATCAACCCTTCATATTCAGCCTATGAACTTTTCAGCCCACACTCTTACTGGGAAAGAAACAATGCAGTTATTAATAAGAAGTGTTGAAATTAATGCCTGTAAGATTTCAGAGCTGTAGTATCAACCCTTCATATTCAGCCTATGAACTTTTCAGCCCACCCTCGAATCTCAGCCATAGCATCCTCTTCTCTCTTTGTATGCCCATATTTATCCCTCCCTCACTCCTTCCCTCCCTGTATCCAACTGTCCATCCATCTCTCTCGCTTTCCGTCTCTCTCCGTTCATATGTTTTGCTGTCTTTTCTGTCTATATATCTCAATTCATCCATCTATCTCTCTATTTGTCTATCAGATTATTCAGCTTTCCGTTTATCTTTTCCTATATCTTTTTGTCTCTCTGTAAGTCCTCCCATCTCTCCATCTGCACACATCTCTTTCTACCTCTCTCTCTTTGTTAATTTATAACTCACTCTCTATATCTTCACCAATCTCTCGGCCTCTCTCTATTCATCTACCTTTCTGTCAGTCTGGCCACTAACCTCTCTATTTTCTTTTTACCCACCCGTCCCTTTCTTTCTCTCTGTGGCTATACATCTGTCTGTATTTCCATTTCTTTTTATCCTCATTTCTTTCTCTTTGCTCATCAACATCTTTTAAGAGCTATCTAATCTAATATCTAATTAAGAACTATGTAATATCTAATTCAATGTAAAAATTCAACTGATTTCAAGAAATCACCTGGAGTAAAAACAGCGCTAAATATCTGTTAATGTTACACGTAGAATGAGTTCATACATTATGCGTGCACAGAAATTTACAATCAACTGTACACTATATCATCGTCATAGCTTAACTTCGAGAACAACAAGTCAGAAATTTGTTGCAGATCGCCCATGGGCAGTGAAAATATATACGAAACGTAATATTTTTCATAGATGTTAGAGAAGAATGTCTGATAATTGGAGGGATCTACGATTTTATAGCATTACTTTATACAGTACAGTGTAACCCGGATATAAGAGAGTTGTCGGGACCGGAGAAGAAGTCTCTTATATCCGGGTTTGGTCTATATGTATACATTAACACAGGCTCTAATTTGGGACCAGAGAAAATCTCTCTTATATCCGGGTTTCTCTTATATCCGGGTCTCTTATATCCGGGTTACACTGTATTTATAGTTCAGTTTACTTTAGATAAGATGGTTGCCTAGAAACTGTCGCCAGCCTTTATTACTTAAAGACAAATGTAGATTTAGATAAGTGATGATGGTCATTTTTAAAAAAATCGAAGACCAGTTCGTCGATAGAAGAGTTCTTGGGGGACGACTGGATACTATCTACATATACAGACACCTCAATGTAAATAAACAAATTTTATAGCATAGATTCAATATTCGCGGCGTTTACAGGTTTGAGTTTGTTTCTGCACCTTGGGAATGATGCGCAGTCAACGTTTATAGAAACATTGGTTAAAACATAAATGATGCTGGTATATGACTTAAGATTCGGTATCATAAAAGTAGACAGCTCGGTGATCCTGTATCTTTTATATATTTTCTTACGATTATTGTTTCTAGAGGTGTTTTTGTATAGCCTATTAAAACGTGACCAGGGGTCTCAAGCCTGAGTGGGTACCTCAGGGAGTGCTTTGTGACCCTAGCTATCTTATAAGCAGTTGACGTTAAAAATTGTTGATTTATTTAAGATGTAATGATCTATTATGACATGTCTCTAAATTGTATTTAGTTACATTATATTTATTTTCAATTTTTTTCGTTGAATTGTTCACCGATATTACATATGAACCATTATTGTATATAATTAGGTTACAATAAAATATGTATTTTATATGAATGCTACCTTATAAAAACTGAGATATAGTAGAGTGGGGAGGGGCCCGTATCATAGATTTACGTGACCCTTGCACCGGTCCTGGACACAACCAAGGTAAGTATAGAGTCAAATCAGGTAAAAAATGGAGGACTGGGCTGGAATCTGTTTAGTCTTTACTTTCCAGCCTTGATAGAGTTCTAAAGCATCTACGTGGCCTTGTGGGTGATGAATTATTTTTATTCTACAACCCTTTTCCCGCAAACACAACGTCGCAAACCTGTCACTCGTTGTTTCCGTTGAAAATGTTCTGATGGTCTACATTCCCTGGTTCCACGAGTTCAAACGATTTTATAGCTGGAGCACATCATGACAGGTACCCGGGTTCGAATCGTCCTAACTTCCTATTCATTCCATCAGTAAGAAGAAGACCTTCTTTTCAAATGCTACCGTTTGTAGAACAGACTCCCAAGAGGATGCTTCCACGACCACAATTTTAATCTCTTCAAGTAAAGATTTCACTGGTATTGATTTATATACAATTCTTATGTTCATAAAAAAAAACCTTATTCAGTGAAGCTCTATCGAAAGCGGCAGTGGGGTGGTATCTTGGATGAGCAACATCGTACAAAAGTCCCGGACTAGGTTTAGCTTCGTTGAGCCGATGAAGAGGAAAATCGCCTAGTTTGAAAGAATATTATTGTTTTTGTTCAAGAGCTTACGGCTATATCACATTGAAAAACCGGTTCTCGTCCGACCACCGAAGTTAAGCAACATCGAACCTGGTCAGTACCACGATGAGTAACCGCTTGGGAATACCAAGTGCTGTAAGCGTGGATGTGCGTGTAATGTAATGGATGACGGCTGGAAATTGGAAATCGGTGAGCCGGATTTCAATTCCAGTCGGGTTCGTTATAATCGCGTATGCTGTTGGGAAAGGCATGAACCCACTTCTTCTACCCCAGCTATGTGTTAAATATTAGAACTTTTTGATACAAGTTCTACTATTTAACACATCTGATTATTATCTTAAAAATGATTATTATCATGATTAACAAAAATGGTTTTTATCTAAAAAAATTCTTACAATCCAAAAATATTTTCTGGTTTTAAATAATCTGCGAAACTAATCAATCGATTAATTTTCCTCGGGTTTATTTCCAAGATGAAGGCGGAATTAACTACTGAAGAGCCACCTACGAGTGAGCAACTTGAGCCGCATCATTAGCGAGATGAAGCTCTCTAGCCAGCTGCTTGTGAACCTGGAGTTGCTTCAGGTTTTTTTTTTGCTTGTTTTTTAATCATTTCTTCCCAAGAAGGCGTTAATGGCACTAAGACACAAGGAGTTACTGTGAGTGAAAGAAGATGAGCGGACAATAAAAGAACAAGATTCAGGAAGACAGAAGATGACCATTGACGTTACATTTAAATTTTTGAAGATCGTGGATGGTATGGAAGCAAGGAACCGGAAGAGAGTTAAGCAGACGTGAAGTGCTAGATAAGAAACTATTAGAACAGAACTTACGGTTGCACCTAACTAGTTCAACGCTAAAACGATGAAACCTAATTGCTATTAGTAGACTTAAGGTACCAAAAAGAAGACGTATATTTATTCCACATTATTTGTAGAAATATGGTGCAAGCCCAAAATGGTGAATGGAGAAAAAAGGATGGTCTTATTTTGTTTTAACATTAAAATTAGCTAGCTACGATCACTGACCTGAACATACCACGATATTTTTTATACCAGAACAACGTATTCTTACAACATTCACCATAATGCCTCATTGTCTCTATAGAAATTCTAACTAGTCCCCATATGTACAATTCATGTCTGTCGAGGTAGGGGAATAAAATAACAAGAAAAGCATATCACAACAATTACTATGAAATCATTGTGTAGAAAAACACAGTGAAACCAAATCAAAGTGATTGGTATTGATATGCCAGGCCAACATCGATAACATTACAGACACTTCTATATATTTTGTCGAATATCTCGACATATATAGCATAAGCACCAGGCGAGATATGGTCGCAATATTCAACGAACGGATGAATGGTAGGTTTATAAACGTGAACAGATTGCGAATTGGTGCGTGTGTGACCGGATGAAACTCGTCGTGTTTTAAACAAAGACTGCAACGATTATAGCCAATGAATGAAAAATCTGTTCACAGTGAAACTATCAATACGCATTTATGTAAGGAAAGAAATTGATCGAAAATTTTGACACTCTAATCCCTAGCAGATGCGGTGATATTGATCAATCTCTGTGGGGAAAGCTACATCTTAGTCTGATTTCAAATCAATTCACAGTCGATTTATTCGGACAAACTTAGGTTCACAAACACGATGAATCCCGATTTCACCGGACGGTCAGTTTTCTCCAATTTTGTGTTGCCAAGTTAAAAGATACAGAAAAAATTCCCGAGCGATCAATTATGCAGGCACTGATGTCCATAAGTAAATGGCATAGCCAATCTTTCTAATCTTTCGTCCGTTATCCTCTCATGAGATTAAAAGTGATTAAGAATCGATAGATGTGTATTTCAGAGAAGAGAGAAAAAGAAACACTGCATGAAAATTAAACGAAACAGTCTCTCCCGTTAACGATTAGATTATTTATATTTTTAATGCCAAGTCCCTTCAAGAAATAGACGATGAAGACATTTCACAGCCTCCTTTTTAAATGCCGTGTCCCTTAAGGACGTATGCAATCATGACTCTCCGCACCTTCCTTTTCTTTTTTTTTTAAGGCAACGTCTCTTCAAGTCGTAGGCAGCCATTACTCTCCGAAGCTTCATTTTCTTTTATTCAATACAATTTCCCTACAAGACGATGATGACTTTTCACAACTTCCTTTTTAAATGCCGTGTCCCTTAAGGACGTACGCAATCATGACTCACCGCACCTTCCTTTTCTTTTTTTAAAGCCATGTCTCTTCAAGACGTAGGCAGTCATTAAGTTCCGAAGCTTCATTTATTTAAAACCATTTCCATTCAAGACGTAGGTGATGATGACTCTCCAATGATTACATTTCTTTATTATCGTACATACTCGCGTATCATGCAACTTCTGAAGACCTAATTTTGAAGCCAATTTTAAGGGGTTCGCATTATACAAGAGATATAAAATTAACGTATGTAATGCTGGCCCTGCCTAAGCCAATGACCAAACTATATATCCATTTACTGTAGCAAAATGTACAGCTGTATTTAGAATAAAATTGATTTTAACAAAAAATTGATGTTTTACTTAACTGTATCCATTAATAATGCATGTAATATTTACATATTTGTATCATAAATACAAACATAGCGAATATGCATATTTCCCATTTATTACGTTTATAAGATGTTTAGCTGTTCGGTTGTTTATGGTTCTACGTGTTTACGTAACGAGTATAGCGTTACTAACGATACTTTTATCATTCTCTTTTGGTTTTTCAACTTATTTAACTAGAAGATGGGATAAAGAGATGGAAGAAAAGAGGTTAGTTTTTGTAATTTGGTTTCTCAAAAAAGGAACTCGCATGAAACACGAGATACATGATAAGATTTTTTGTAAGTGAAAATTTGGGGGTCGCGCGATACGCGAGATCTCGCGTTACACAAGTCTATACGCCATCTCTTAATTGCTATGTATTCTTTGTAAAAAGATGGGAGTGGTTTCCTGTTGCCTTCTCTCTATTGTTTTAATTCAGCGTTTTCTTTCTCTTAAACTAGTTGCTACAAATGGTTACAGAGTCAAGTATATCCTGCTATTTAGCTCATAGCTTGGGGATGATGATATGGTTTCGTGTCTTAGCCGAGTTCTACAATGAACGCAATAGAGGAGACATTTCCAATTTCGGCATCGATAACATACACGCTCAACGCATTGCTGATGTATAATACCATTATCAAAATATCTTAAACACACACATAGATTTGTTTTTTATTGCATTAAAAATTAGTCTATTGCTATATTTAACTGTAGGAAGACAATTTATGGTTTTCAGGAAGAGAAATAGCCAAGGGCGTGAACTAGAAAATAGGAAACATCAGAATCAAACGAACACAGAGACGTTTCACCAATCTGGTTAATGCCGTAACACATGACGGAAAATGTTGCACAGAAACAGGCAGGGTGCATCATAAAAGGGAAAGATCTGTGCCAGAATCTAAGTAATGTATTAAGTTATAAGAAAATTATCCTAGAAAGAAAGAAAACAATGCAGAAATAGTAGTTCATGTCTACGAGGTGCATTTCAGAAGTTTCTAGATTTTTTTTTTAGGAGAGGCATTTATTAATTTCAAAGAATTACAAAAATACTAATTTCCTTCAAATTAGGATCCATTTTTGTCAGTTCGCTTCTTGTAGCGCTCTAGCCCATACGTAAAGGTCCCATTAAACTCATCCAAAGAAGTGTCCTGGACCCTTGTCATACTCTCCAACATCTTTTCAATATCTTCAAGACGACAGATTAGTACAACATTCCCATTTATTCATAAATAGAATTTATTCATTTTATTAGTACACCATAAAAATGATTAGTGCAACAGATTTTTCGGCACATTAAAAAAAATAATGTAAATGATTTAGTTAATTTAATGAAATACCATTTTAATTTAAATCTTAAGTTTATTCTTAATCTAGATTTTAATCTTGATTTATTAACACTAGGATGGCCAGCTCCTTTGACATCTTTATTTACATTACGCCGTGAAGCAGCCATCTTTAATATATTCAATATTCAAGTCAGGAATAACAAGTCTGAAAAGAAATTCACAAATATTAGTATACCTCATACTGAAAGAAAGTGATTATATATATATATATATATATATATATATATATATATTATGTGTGTGTTAGATAGATAAACAGATAGATAGGGGACATAAACACAAGTATTATTGCCAGAGCGATTTTTCAATGCATTTATCCTATAAATAGCCTAGGTGTCAAAAACGACACCTCGGCCATTCAAGATAAAACCTCAAATATCAGCTATTCCACTGAATATTTTTTAAAGAATTAAGTCTGTTAAGCATCTTTGCTAAAATTCAATAATTGTCCATAAGCCTCAGCATCGAACCAAAACTAGTTATTCCATAGGAATTTGTTGAAAATTTGAAGGTGTCGAAAACGACACCTCGGCCATCCTAGTGTTAAATCAAAATTAATATCTAGATTATTGATTAGACAGTTTAAAGATTGAGTTGACCATTTGTAATATTTTTACACACATGATTTTTTTATGGTGGATTGTAAGTTGAGGATTTTTCTTCAAATCATAACCATTCCAGAGTATAACGATAAACTACATCCGGCAGAAAGAGCTCTGATCGAGAGATTGGAGATTTTGGGGAGCGTGGAATCACCTCAATTGCTGTTGTTCCCAGGTCCATTCTGACCCGAGGAGGTAGTACCTGTTAATCTTCTAGCTATGGGCAAATAGTGAACCCTCAAACAAAAACAAAACACTATGAAAGTATAAAAATACAGTTTTATAGTAAAAATAACAGCAATACTTTTTTATATGTAAAAAATTACTAACAATAGCTATTTATAGTAAAATTATCAACAATATATCAATATGAAAGGACTCTTTCATGATATTAATCCATATAATATCCTACAATTTCTTAAAGAAATCAAACTGTATTCAAAAATATAATTTCAACTAAATATAAAACACACATATCATTGCCTTTAGTAATTATGTTCACGCAAACATGTATATGGACAAAACAGAGTATCATCTGCTATGTATTCAATTGTGAAAGCAAAGTAATATATTCTTTTTACTTCAATGTTCGCAAGAAAATTAAATTTCGGCATTAA